GCTGACCTCCAGCTGGAGGGCTCACAGGCCAGGGCTTCCCAGTTCTCAGTGTCTATGCCAGAGTTTTTAAGGTTGGCTTTGAGCCCATCTTTGAATCTCTTTTCCTGCCCAACAACATTCCGTTTTCCATTCTTGAGTTCAGCGTAGAGCAATTGCTTTGTAGGACAGTGGTCAGGCATCCGGACAACGTGGCCGGTCCAATGGAGTTGATGGCGGAGGACCATCGCTTCGATGCTGGTGGCCTTTGCTTCTTCCAGCACACTGACATTTGTCCGCTTGTCTACCCAAGAGATTTGCCAGATTTTCTAGAGGCAGCACTGATGGAATCGTTCCAGAAATTGCATGTGATGTCTGTAGACAGTCCATGTTTCGCAGGAATATAGCAGGGTTGGGAGGGGAATAGCTTTATAAACAAGCACCTTGGTATCCCTACAGATATCCCAGTCCTCAAACACTCTCTGCTTCATTCGGAAAAATGCTTCCCCCGCAGAGCTCAGGCGGTGTTGGTATTTCGGTGTCGATGTTGACTTTGGTGGAGAGGTGGCTGCCAAGGTAGCGGAAATGGTCAACATTTTCTAATGTTACATCATTAAGCTGTATCTCTGGCATTGGAGAGGGATTGGCTGGTGACTGCTGGAAGAGCACTTTGGTTTTCTCGATGTTCAATGAGAGGCTAAGCTTCTCGTAGGCTTCTGCGAAGGTGTTTAGAGTGGCTTGTACGTCAGTGGTTCTCAACCTGGGGTCCCCAGATGTTTTTGGCCTACAACTCCCAGAAATCCCAGCTATTTTACCAGCAGTTAGGATTTCTGGGGGTTGAAGGCCAAAAACATCTGGGGACCCCAGGTTGAGAACCACTGTTGTAGGTCTTCTTCTGAATGTGCACAGACAATGTTGTCATCAGCCTACTGGAGTTCTATAACAGATGTTGTTGTAACCTTGGTTTTGGCTTTCAGTCTGCTGAAGTTAAATAGCTTGCCATCTCTCCGATAGATGATTTCCACTCTGGTGGGAAGCTTCCCATCAACAAGGTGAAGTATCATAGCGATGAAGATGGAGAATAAGATTGGGGCAATAATACATCCCTGTTTGAGACCTGATTCCACCTTAAATGGGTCACTTTGGGAGCCACTGCTGTCCAAGACTGTTGCCATCATGTCATCATGGATGCTCACAAATTTGTTAGGGCACCGGATTTTCTGGAGGATGGTCCAGAGAGTGCTGCGAACTAACCTACTTACTGTGCAACACATGTGCAAGGAGACACAGGCCACAATAAACTAGGAACTATGCAGTCTTCCAGATGCAGCTGGGTTGCCAACACAGTAAATGGCAAGGAATGCTGGTATGGCAATTCAATAGCATCTGGAGGGCCACATGATTCACACCCCTGCACAGCATTCATCTTTATGCCATGTATGCTAATTGTTCTATCAAATAATTTGATATGAATCAGTAAGATTAGGAAGAGAAGAAGCTAGCCCAGATGTGGTGACACAAGCACGATCAAAAAGATAGCAAAATGATAGCTGCAGTGCAGAAAGCGTCTATATTTGTATCTTTATCACCTCCGTAAATGTTCCCAAGACTCAGTAATATGCATCATGTTGTGCAGCCCCAAACAGATGCAGTTAATTAAGTCAGGATCTACGCTCAGGAAATTATGCACCACTGAAGAACACATGGTACACCTGTTAATAATGAGGCAGTTGTGAACAAAGATTAGCAAAGCATTGCACAGGCGTGGGGGAAAAACTCTGCCGCTTCTCACGGAAAAACAAGAATCAAGAAGTGACGCGGTTTTGGCCAAGGTAGTGACATCACTGAGTTTCCATCATTAAAAGAAAAACCCAAGATATAGCGCTGAAAAGCAATCCATCAAAGTAAGAAATGAAAAAAGAAATACTGAACACTAGCAGTCTAAAGGATGAAATGGCTCACAGATCTATATAAATTAAAATATAATGTTCGTTTGTGGGATTAACATAACTCAGAAACCACTGGACGAATTAACACCAAATTTGGACAGTACACTCCTAACAGACCAATGAGTGTTCATCACCCCTAAAATTACAAAAAAGCAAAACAAACCAAAAACAAAAACAAAAAAACACACACACATACACACACAAAAACAACAACAAAATCCAGCAGAACAGACTTAAAAACCCCAGAAATACACCCTACATATATATATATATATATATATGCACACACACACACACACACACACAAACACACACACACACACACACATACACACACATATGTATATATACGAGGAGCATTTTTTAAGTAAGGTCCGTTTGAACACAAGTACACAACGAAAGTTTATTTCAAAAAAGTAAATTTATTTTCAGAAAGTACATACTTCAATCTATTTTTCGTTGCCAAGTTTGTTCAAACATTTATCATACCTCTGAACCAATTTTAAAATACCCTCTTCATAAAAACTTGCCGCCTGCTCCGATAACCAAATCGTCTGTAATCAAAGAAGGGCGACCAGAGCGGTCCTCATCATGGACTTTGTCACGGCCATCTTTGAATTGTCGTACCCACTTACGCACTTTGCTTTCACTCATAACAGTCTCACCGTACACTTCACAAATCTGTCGATGGATTTCTGCAGCAGGCAGGTCCCTTGCTGACAAAAACCGTATCCCTGAGCGAACCTCACATGCGGAGGAAGGTGAGTTGAGAGTCTTAAACATTTTCAAAGCACAGAACAGAACCGTACAGGTGAGCTACAGAGCGGAAACTGAGCACAGTTGTTCCCAAGGCATGCCGGTGCACGACGCACGCGCTCGTTGCGGTATGCACGCGAACTACTAGTGTCCACAACAAAACGGACCTTACTTAAAAAATACCCTTCTCATATATACCGAAGCACACACAAATATACACACACATACATCTAAATACACACACTCATATACATATACATGCACACATATATAAACACAAATATGCATATAGACAAGCACACACATATATACAATATACATATATACATATAAACACACAAATATATACACATATATACACATCTCCACACACACATATACACCCACACACACACACACACACACACACACACACACACACATATATATATATATATATATATATACACGCAAACACACATATATACACAGATACACAAATATTTAAAAACATATATACACACAAAACACATATATACAGACTGGGCCACAGCAACGCATAACAGGGGATGGCTAGTACTACCATATATACTCATGTATAAGTCACTTGCACAGTGTCAATTCTGAATGATGGCATCTGAACTTAAGCAGTTCACGAACATTGAGCTTAGGTAGCTATAAGGAAATAAGGGTTTCCTACTATTTTACCATAGTATTAGTTTTACACTAAAACTTTAGTACAGCTATGAAAATGGACTTGGCCTGCCAGTAAACCAGGCAGCAGAGAAGTCTCTAAAATGCCAGTTTTACTTGGAACTTGTTTATTTATTTATTGGTGTTTTTGAATACAGTGTTGCAAAACATTAATGGAGGGTTGGGGAGGGGTCAAGAAAGGTAGGAAGGGTAGTGTGGGAATTCCAGTGGTAAAGGGGTAAGTAAGAGGGAAGCAGGAAGGAGATCAGACAAAAAAAAAACCCGAAAAAAGTAAGATGCAATTTAAGAAAGAAGAATACAATACGTCAACTCCATTGGCTGCCAATCAGTTTCTGAGCACAATTCAAATTGCTGGTGTTGACCTATAAAGCCCTAAACAACTCCGGCCCAATTTACCCGTCCGAACGGATTCTCCCCTATGAACCATCAGGGTTATTGAGATCTTCTGGAGGGGCCCTGCTCTCGGTCCCACCACCCTCGCAATCACGGCTGTTGGGGACGAGGGACAGGGCCTTCTCGGTGGTGGCCCCTCAGCTCTGGAACTCTCTCCCACTGGAGATTAGAACTGCCCCTTCTCTCCTGACTTTTAGAAAGCTAGTGAAAACTTGGCTCTGGAATTTAGCACACGGACAAATGGTGATGAATTGTGATTTCATTCTGATGACTTGGTCTTAAGTAATTATATGATTGTATTTTAATGTATTTTATGTATTAGTGCATTATGTGATGTGATATTTTAAACTATTGTTATGAATCCTTTGTTGTAAACCGGCCTGAGCCCCTCTGCGGAGGTTGAGAAGACCAGTATATAAAAGTTCTAAATAAATAAATAAATAAATAAATAAATAAAACAGGTTCAACAATACAAACGAAACAAAACATAAACACAAGTTGACTTCCATTCTTCTTCTTGGTGGAATATATATTTTCCTTCTATATTCTCTTCCTGTTAAGGAAGTATACCTTTAAAAATTGTTTGTTTGTTTGTTTTTTGTTTGTTGCTTTATAAACCCCCCTTTTCATTGCAGCTAGTGTCCTCTCTTATTTCTGTTTATTAACTTGGGTGAAACCCTTGGGTATTTAATTGGTTTTCTTATATTCCTCAAATAGTTTCCACTCTGTTTGTTTCATTGGTCTCCGTGTATACCTCCTCAGGAAGTATGTCAACTTTCAAAACATAAACCATCGCTCAGTAAAGATGTCCTCATTAAAAATAAGAAACCCTCCATCAAAAATTTAAGATCAAATTTAAGCTGGTAGTAGTAAGTCCTTGCATCTCTCCTTCCCCATTTACCTTATCTCAGAAATGCTTTTTAATGGTGAATGCCATTAGACAAGCAAGAAGCGGGTAGTATCTTTGCTTTTCTAGAATCAGAAGGAAGGCTGTGGGAAGAGGAGTACATTTGTTTTCTTTAGGACAAGCTTGAAAGGTAAGTTAAGAGAATGTCTTGTGCGGAGTGAGGAAACAAGCATCAGGAATGAGAATCAACCTGCGAATGCATTACTGGTCTTTCATAAAATCCCATTCTGCGTTTGGCATTGTCTAGTAACTAACTGTGATTGACTGTTCCTGCCTGGCTCTCACTCAGGTTTATTACAGTAATCTTGGTTTATTACTGTTCACAGGTCTTGACTTTATTAGAGCTGAAGGCTTTGTTTTTTCTCATGTGGCGGATGAAGGGATTCTGAATGCTTGTGCTGGTGACTTACTGAGATACCGGAAGCAAATTGGCGCAGAACATATCCAGGTTTTTGCTGACATTAAAAAGAAACACAGGTAAATAGGTTACATTTGCATGGAATATTTGATGGACAGTTTTGTTTGTCAGTGAGAACCAACAGGAAAGCCCCATTCAGTGATAACAGTCCCACTTTTGCTTGCAACGTCTTTGGATAAGTGACAAAATGCCTATGCTTCCAAATTAATCTTCTAGAAAAATGTAGATAAGTTCCAGTTGGAAATATTTTCTCTCTTGATTGACTATTTTTACGAGGGATATATATGTGTGTAAAATTAAATATTAACCTAGCTGTACCCACTACTCATTGCTGTGGCCAACCTTCCCTCCCTCTTTCTCTCCTTTCTTTCTCTCATTCCTTCCCTTTTTTTCCCCCTTTCTCCTTTCTTCCTTCTCTTCCTCTTCCCTTCCTCCCCCTTTTTTCTTTCCCTCCCTCTTTCTCCTCTTTCTTCCTTCTCTACCTATTCTTGGACTGCAACTCCCAGCAGCCCTCCTGATCAATCTATCTATCTACCAACCTATCCATCTCATCTATCTACCTTATCTATCTGGAGGATTGCTTTGAGTTGCAGTCCAGGAATAGGAAATTGGAAATATTCAAGGATTGGGATGCTCTCAAAGAAATCCGAGGAGCAGAAAGCTTGCAGCTTGGAAGCAGTGCATTTGAATCATCCTCCTCTCCTAAAGGGCCTGCTCTAGGGGATGCTGGGATCTGTAGTCTGGAAGAGAGTATGGATATGCTATTGTATGTTTTGTTTGCCAGAGGGAGTCATTTTGTACATGCGCTGTAGTGTTTTGTTTTTTTGCTTGTTTGGCTTTTTAAGTCCCTTCCACTGTGTTTTTTAAAATAATTTTTTATTGAGACTTTTTCTTACTTACACATAAAAATAGGATTCAAAAAGGTAAAAAAGGGTAAGTTGTGGTAGGATTGGAATAGGGGATTAGGTTGAGGGGTAGTGAATGTTTGGGGAAGGGGAAAGGGGGTGTGATCGGATAAGTCAAAGGAACTGGGGAGGAAAGAGGAAGGCTGGGGGTTGTGTAGGGGGTTTGTTGACTTCCCAATCTTCTTCTCCACGGCCTCTGATACCATATCTTCCTGTCATTTGTATTTTCCTACTCTTCTGGCAGCTACAGAAGCCAAAGCCGCAGATTGTGCAAAACAGGTCTATTGAACGCATCATCTCCTTGTTCCTAAAGCGCCTAATATTACATTTGGCCCAATGCAAAATATTTATTTTTAAATATTAAGTATCTTTTCTTGCACAGACTTAGTAAATGTTTCCAAAAGAGGAAAAGTCAAAGTCTAATGCTAGTGGTTCAGTGTATCATACCTTGATACACGTTGTAACTGAAGAGTAAATAGGAGAAACTCATCAAAACTAACACTAAGTAACAACATTTTTTAAATGTTATGTTCCTGGTTTGAAAGTGTTATTCCTGTTTAATTGTGTGATACTTTCCTTGGACTGCGAGAAGATCCAACCAGTCCATATTTCAGGATAGAAAGCCCGACTGCTCATTGGAGGGAAGGATAATAGAGGCCAAGATGAAGTACTTTGGCCATATCATGAGAAGACAGGAAAGCTTGGAGAAGACAATGCTGCTGGGGAAAATGGAAGGAAAAAGGAAGAGGGGCCGACCAAGGGCAAGATGGATGGATGCTATCCTTGAAAGGACTGGCTTGACCATGAAGGAGCTGGGGGTGGCGATGGCCGATAGGGAGCTCTGGCGTGGGCTGGTCCATGAGGTCATGAAGAGTCGGAAGCGACTGAACGAATAACCAACAACAAAACTTACTTTGAAAGCAGTTGTTCTACTCCAGAAACTTTGTTTTTGTGGCTAACACAAACTAGGTTGAATTGGTTGAGACTCAATAACAAAATATTGATTGACAAGCTATAGCAACTCTGGTTGCAATTTTAAAGAGATAACCCAATGGAAAAAGATTGGAAATTAAAAATAATGGGTATAAAGAACATGGATAGATTAACTTTTTTTGAAAGGACATGAAGGCAAACCCAAATGCCCTACAGACTGGACTTTACTAGACTTTTTTTTTCAAAAAAGCAGATGGAAATGATCTAACAAAGAGAAGATGGAGAGACTAATTACAATTTATATACAAGAGATTAATTGCCCAGATAGGAAAAGAATTCAGAAGTCAATAAGAAGATTTTATTTTTATTTTTATTATTTTTATTATTTCTACTTTTTTACATATATATTTTACTTTTTAAAAAACTTTTTTCTCTTTTCTTATGTATTTTTTTTCATTCTCATAAAAAGAAGAAAAGAGGAAAAAGGGAGGGGAGCTTTTTCCATGTTTTTATGATAAAATAATAATAATAATAATAATAATAATAACAATTTATTTAATTACACCCCGCCACCATCTCCCCAAGGGAACTCGGGGTGGCTTACATGAGGCCAAGCCCTACAATACAGTGCAGCAATGCTAATAACAACATACAACAACAATAAAAACAATAAAAATAATAAAAATAATAAAATACAAAAAACAATATAAAAAGCACATCAAACAATATAAAATCACAATTAAACACAGAAAATAAATCACAGTGAGCAGGGCCAATTAGGAAATGACATTTATAACCTGGAACAAAAATTGTGTTAGATAGTGTAGTCTATGTAATCTTGATCCATTGTATGTAGAACGTGCCATACAGTTTTCCTGTTATTTCTTGCATTTTATTTGCTTTATTAAAAGGTAGACTGGAAATCTACCCTTCGGCTATTTTGAAAGCATTTTAAAAGCATTTCTCTCTTTTCCCATATACATATATATATATACACACACACATATATATACATATATATATATATATACACACACACACACACAGACATATACAAACATTTAAATGTACACACACATATATCTTTATTCTTAGACTTTTTCTCCTCATTTATTTTTATGCTTATTTTTTCTGTATAGAAAATTTTAATTGTTATGTACTGAAATAATAATAAGGATTTTTTTTAAAGATAGACAGAAAGTCTATCCTTTGACTATTTTAAAAGCATTTTAAAAGTATTTCTCATTTTTTCCCTAGAGACATATACAAACATGTAAATGTACATATATTTGCCTTTATTCTTAGACTTTTTCTCCTCATTTATTTTTATGCTTATTGTTTTTCTATATAGAAAATTTTAATTGTTATATACTGAAATAATAATAAAGATTTTTTGAAAAAAAATATAGACTGAAAATCTATCCTGCAGCTATTTTAAAAGCATATAGTTGGGAAATAAGTTTACTGGTCACAGATATGATTGCTCAAAGTGAGCAGGCTGTGTTTCTGCTGTTGACAGCGCTCACGCCCTGACAGCTGATGTCAACGTAGCAGAGACGGCTAAGGCTGCTGAATTCTTCCTGGCTGATGGGGTGATATTAACTGGAACAGCAACTGGATTAGAGGCAGATCCCAAGGAACTGAAAGGTGAGCGCTCTACTAGCTTGTCAATGTCTCTTGCAAAGGCTAACTTTTGGGGACTGCACTCCTAGAATCAGCATTTGCATACTGACTAAGCCAGGCATGGGCAAACTTTGACCCTCCTCCAAGTGTTTTGTACTTCAACTCCCACAATTCCTAACAGCTTACCAGCTGTAAGAAAACAGGGTGGAGTATACTTATGGAAGTTCCATTAAAGCAGTGTTTCTCAACCTTCCTAATTCCGTGACCCCTTAATACAGTTCCTCATGTTGTGGTGAGCCCCAACCATGAAATTATTTTCGTTGCTACTTCATAACTGTAATCTTGCTACTGTTATGAATTGTAATGTAAATATCTGATATGCAGGATATACTTTCATTCACTGGACCAAATTTGGCACAAATACCCGATACACCCAAATTTGAATACTGGTGGGGTTGGGTATAAATGTCATTTCCTAATAGGTTATGTCATTTATTTTATTTGTCGTGTCAGGGAAACCAGTCAATTATATTACATTTCTAACAGAACAAAGCAAACAAACAGACAAAATACAAAATTTGTGAGTTTGGTAGTTGATTAAATGTCCTTTGACCAGTATCTGGCCACTTGGAGTGCCTCTGGTGTTGCCGCAAGGAGGTCCTCCCTTGTGCATGTGGCAGGGCTCAGGTTGCATTGCAGCAGGTGGTCTGTGGTTTGCTCTTCTCCACACTCGCATGTCGTGGACTCCACTTTGTGGCCCCATTTCTTAAGGTTGGCTCTGCATCTCGTGGTGCCAGAGCGCAGTCTGTTCAGTGCCCTTCCTCTCGTCTGCATTCTCCAGAATCGAAGGTTGACCACATTTGGTATCAGCCATTAGTTGAAGTTCTGGGTTTGCCACTTTTGGACTCTGCTTGCTGAGGTGTTCCAGCGAGTGTCTCTGTAGATCTTAGAAAACTATTTCTTGATTTAAGTCATTGACGTGCTGGCTGATACCCAAACAGGGGATGAGCTGGAGATGTCACTGCCTTGGTCCTTTCACTATTGGCTGCTACTTCCCGGCGGATGTCAGGTAGTGCAATACCGGCTAAACAGTGTAATTTCTCCAGTGGTGTAGGGCGCAGACACCCCGTGATAATGCGGCATGTCTCATTAAGAGCCACATCCACTGTTTTAGCGTGGTGAGATGTGTTCCACACTGGGCATGCGTACTCAGCAGCAGAGTAGCACAGCGCAAGGGCAGATGTCTTCACTGTATCTGGTTTTGATCCCCAGGTTGTGCCAGTCAGCTTTCGTATGATATTGTTTCTAGCACCCACTTTTTGCTTGATGTTCAGGCAGTGCTTCTTGTAGGTCAGAGCATGGTCCAGAGTGACTCCCGGGTGTTTGGGTGCGCTGCAGTGCTCCAGTGGGATTCCTTCCCAGGTGATCTTCAGAGCTCGGGATGCTTCTCTGTTCTTGAGATGAACAGAGTTGTAGTTGCTGGGATTTATAGTTAACCTGCAATCAAAGAGCATTCTGAACCAAACTTGGCACACAGAACTCACATGACCAACAGATAATACTGGAAGGGTCTGGTGGGAATTGACCTTGAGTTTTGGAGTTGTAGTTCACCTACACCCAGAGAGCACAGTGGACTCAAACAATGATGGATCTGGACCAAACACTGGTGGAGTTTAGGGAAAATATTTAGGGGTTGTAATTGCTGGGATTTATAGTTCACCTACAATCAAAGAGCATTCTGAACCCTACCAATGAGAAAATTGGGCCAAACTTTCCACACAGAACCCCCATGACCCACAGAAAATACTGTGTTTTCTGCTGGTCTTAGGCGACTCCTCTGACAATCCCCTCATGACCCCTCCAGGTGTCCCGACCCCCAGGTTGAGAAGCACTGCATTAGAGGACTCCTCATTAACATCTATTATATGTATGTGTTGAATTGGTTGAGAGTCGATGAGATATTAATTGGAAAACTATAGCAAAATATGATGTAGGAAGTACCTCCCACAAAAACAAATAAATAAAGTTATTGTTATTATTATTAACTATATTTATACCCACCTTTCTCCCTGTAGGGACTCAAGGCGGCTTACAATCTCACACTTAGTCAAGTTTAAAAAGCACAATACAAAGATTTTTAAAAATAGTAAAAGTGTGGTAAAAACAGATTAAAATACAATAAATACACTTAAAATGGCCTTTGAAACTCAACATCGTACCCCCACCCATGTCTATGGGTGTGTGGGCTTGTTATGCAAAATATAAAACAGGATTGCAAATGATAGTGCATGAGTCGTGGCTGTCATTCTTACTTCACCTTCTATGATTTACTTTAACGTAATATGAAAAGTTAGATACGATCGGAAGTGTGCTCACAGAAGCCCACTATGGCATATCTGACAGTTTTTGTCTGCTGGAACTGGCTGTCACCGCAAGCAGATAACCATATACGTGGATGCACATATTTCTCATTTCTCTTAATTAAAAAAGGATGGAATGGCTTCATTTCTGATAGCTGTAGCTCATGAATGATGACATTCTTCATAACCTTTTTTGAAAGGTTACTTCTAATGAAAGTAAATCAAAAGCATAACTTTTAAAATAGGGTGAAAAATAGGAGATTTAGCTTGAATGACATTCAGCTAAAAAAGAACATCATCTGACGGAATTGAGTGCAAATGATAACTGCAGGACACCGAGGGGAGCTCGGTTTTGGTGCGTAATTACAAATACACGAAGTTATTGTAAAGGTTGCGCATGTTCTAGGACAGAGCTGTTGGATCAATAAATGCCAGGAAGAAAAGATGACACTCTTGATGTACTTCCTTCAAACAGCCATTAGGAGCCTGATTTGATCCCTTATGATAGGTCTGTAGACCCATAAACTCATCAGGTTCAGCTACATGATGTAAGATAAGTGACTTGAGAAACCTCAAGTCATTTCTGCTGTGAGAGAATTGACCGTCTGCAAAGACGTTACCCAGAGGATGCTCGAATGTTTGATGTTTTTATTTATTTATTTACAGTATTTATATCCAGCCCTCCTCACCCCACAGGGGACTCGGGGTGGATTACAATGTATGTATACATGGCAAACATTCAATGCCATAGACACACAACATACATAGACAGACACACAGAGGCTACTTAACATTCCAGCTTTTGATGAGGGTATTCTGGCCACTAGGGGAGCTGTCGCTTTACCGTCCATTTGTGACAGTGATTAAGTACTTCCTCGTTCTTTGCATGCTTTCTGGAGATTTTTATGGCATTGTAAATTAGTTAAATTAGCCTCCCCGCATATGTCTTTCTAGCTGCAAAGGTCAACAGCAAGCTACACAAATTAGTCGGAAGCTCACTCCAACCTGGGCTGGCCTTTCGGTCAGTAGTGATGTTAATGCAGCTGACTCGGAGCCAGCTGCGCCACAGTCCCAGTTCTAACCATCCTTGTGGGAAGTTTCTCTCATGTCCCCACATGGGGAGCTGGAGCTGACAGAGGGAGCTCCACCTGCTCTCCTGAGATTTGGCAGTCCTGCCGGCACAAAGGTTTAACCCATTGCACCGCCAGGTAGAGAGTAGGATAACACTATGTAACTAAATTTGAAGGTGTTCTGTCGCCGCTGGACCTGAAATGAAGTGCCCTTAAGAGAGGATGTATGGCTTGAATCCAGCGGGAAGCCAGGGGGCCCAAAAAGGAGCCTTTAGAGAAATTTCCCTCATTAAACAGTCTTTAGGAGGCTTGAGCTTAAATATAACAGTCTTTTATTGATGAACAAACAGGAATTGTAAAGCTTTCTTGGCAAAAAAAAACCAGTTCTCGCAAACTTGTCCACAGGGAACAGGCACTATCTTCAAAAACTTTGTTCAAAGGAAAATTCCCCTTTCTAGCTCCTCCCAGGCTGCTGTGAATCTAAACCTGACTGATTTGAATCCACTACCGGCTGAACTGCGTTACAGAACCGAGCAGATGTACCAGCAGGCCTGTAGTCACTTAGCTGGAGATCTTGACGATTAGAGCTGTTATTCCCTCCGGAATTCCTCAGGGCTGTGAGGCTGTTTCCCCGGAACCTTTGGGAATCGTTAGAGGCTCTTAAGACTGTTCTCCCCCGGGAAGTCTTAAGGGACGAAGCCTTTGTACAGGAGGCTGTCTGTATACAGCCTGCATTGACTTCCTTTGCTGAGACTAACTGAAAAATGGCCCCTTCCCTCCAAAAGCCCCAGAGAGAGGCGGGACCAAGGATCCTAGCTATAATTGACAGGTGGCTTGCCCTATGAATGCAGCCAAAGGAAGCCACCTATCTGCAAAGTCCCTGCAACTTAGGACTATGAACAAACACTCAGTGCAAAACACAAAATTGGTGCCCCTGGAACAGCCGTTCCAGAACAGAAGGAAAAAAAATACCTTCCACCTTTCTCATCTTTTCATTTCATATTTGTCCTCTATTTATTCCAAAGTCTGTATGATCAGCTTTGAGCCTCAACATTATTAGAGTGTAGAATAACACTATATAACAAATTTTGGAAAAAAAAATCGGTTCCTGGTTTGAAAGTGTTATTCAACTTTGATTGTAGGTGAACTATAAATCCCAGGAACTACAACTCCCAATTGTCAATTGTGGAATCCTTACTTTGAAAGTAGCTGTTCTACTCCACAAACTTCATTTTTGTGGCTGCTACAAATGAGGTTGAATTGATTGAGACTCGACGAGGTATTCATTGGGAAACTATAGCAATATGTGCTGCAGGATGTCCCTCTCACAGTAACAAAGTGTTTGCAGTTTAACAAGCGTTTGCAGTTTGCAGTTTAACAAACTTTTTCCATGGTTAATGATAGAACCAAGTAGGAAATGACCTTTATAACCCAGGAACAAAAACTGTGTTACATAGTGCAATGGAAGTGTGACATAAGTGTGACATGATATTATAATTATATATTTTAATTACATATATTACATTATTTTATAATATATATTTATAATATATAATATATATGTAATATATATATAATATATTACATATATAATATTATTTTATACTTTTTTATATTGTTCTATTATTTAAATTGCATATTTATGTTTTTGGTTGTGGGCACCATGGGGTACTGTTTTGTTAGCCGCCCTGAGTCCATCTGCGAAGGTCGAGATAGGATGAGATACAAATATCTGAAATAAATAATAAATAAATATTACTAATAATCTATATATATAAAAATGCTCTGTGCATAATGAGTACCTTAAAAACAAAAGAACCAATGAACGAAATCACACCAAATTTGGCAACAAGATGTCCCACAACACAAGGAGTGACCATCACTGAAAACATTAAGATTTTGTCATTTGGGAGTTGTAGTTGCTGGGATTTATAGTTCACCTATAATCAAAGAGCATTCTGAACTCCACCAACAATGGAATTGAACCAAACTTGGCACACAGGACTCCCATGACCAACAGAAAATACTGGAAGGGTTTGGTGGACATTGACCTTGAGTTTGGGAGTTGTAGTTCACCTACATCTAGAGAGCACTGTGGACTCAAACAATGATGGATCTGGGCCAAACTTGGCATGAATACTCAATATGCCCAAATATGAGCACAGATGGAGTTTGGGGGAAATAGACCTTGACAATTGGGAGTTGTAGTTACTGGGATTTATAGTTCACATACGATCAAAGAGCATTCTGAACTTCACCAATGATGGAATTGAACCAAACATGGCATACAGGACTTCCATGACCAACAGAACACACTGGAAGGGTTTGGTGGGAAATGACCTTGAGTTTGGGAGTTGTAGTTCACAGAGAGCACTGTGGACTCAAACAATGATGGATCTGGACCAAACTTGACACAAAAATTCCATATGCCTAAATATGAACACAGATGGAGTTTGGAGGAAATAGACCTTGACATTTGGGATTTGTAGTTACTGGGATTTATAGTTTAGCTACAATCAAAGAGCATTCTGATCCCCATCAATGACAGAATTGGGGCAAACTTCCCACATAGAACCCCCATGACCAACAGAAAATACTTAAGGCCATCCAGTCCAACTCTCTTCACCAGGACAATAAAATGTAATCAGAGCCTTCCTGACAAAGAGCCATCCAGCTATAGATATAGATAGATATGATTCTCTCTCACACACACAGATATAGTATCCTAGATTTGAAAGGGACCCTTAAAGAAGGACAATGATATGTTGCATGTTCCAGGGCGGGCAAACCAGGCAATCTCCACATCAACACTGACAAAGAAACAACAAGAAATACTGTTTACCCACAAGCAGAAAGGAATTACATATATTAGAAACCAACACTTTCTCATTACTTTATTTTCCAGATCACCAGACTGGGCCACAGCAACGCCTGGCAGTGGACAGCTAGTATATAATATATATGTAATATATGTTATAATATATTACACATATAATATTATTTTATACTGTTTTATATTGTTCTATTGTTATTTAAATTGCATATTTATGTTTTTGGTTGTGAGCACCATGGGGTGCTGCTTTCTTAGCCGTCTGCGGAGGTCGAGATAGGATGTGATACAAATATCCGAAATAAATAAATAATAAATAAATATTACTAATAATATTACAATATAATGGTATAGTACAATATAGTAATATAGTAATATATAGTCATATATAATACTGATATTGTACTATGCTAATAATATAATAATATAATATAATATATTGCAGGGGTCCCCAAACTTTTTAAACAGAGGGCCAGGTCACAGTCCATCAAACTGTTGGAGGGCCGGATTATAATTTTTTAAAAAAACATGAATGAATTCCTGTGCTCACAGCACATATCTTATTTGTAGTGCAAAAAAACCCCACTTAAAAACCATACAATAATTAAAATAAAGAACAATTTTAACAAATATAAACTTGTTACAACTGCTCTATATGTTGCTATACGCTCTATACACCTTATTGACCAGCCTAACTTATTCTAACTTATTTGCACACCATCCCCCCCCCCCCCCCCCCCCCATGAGTATTGGAATACTTCTGGTTGCTGCTTATGATGTTTGTTTTTCTATTGTTATAATGTTGTTTTATGTTGTTTTAATATTGTACTTGCGATGTTTTTAACTGTATGTGTTTGTGCTTGGCCCCATGTAAGCCGCCCCAAGTTCCTTTGGGGAGATGGAGGCGGGGTATAAAAATAAAGTTCTTCTTCTTCTATTAGTATTTCAGTGGGAAGTATGGACCTGCTTTTGGCTGATGAGATAGGATTCTTGTTGTTGTTGTGTGCTTTCAACCATTTCAGACTTAGGTTGACCCTGAGAGAGGGCCGGGTAAATGACCTTGGAGGGCCGTATCCGGCCCCCGGGCCTTAGTTTGAGGACCTCTGATATATTGTATGCATATATATCTTGTAAGCCACTCTGAGTCCCCTTCGGGGTGAGAAGGGCAACATATAAATGTCTTAAATAAATAAATAAGTGGCACATCCAATGTTATTCCTGTACAACCTGCATGAGAAGGAGGAACATGTGCCTTATTTTTGCCAGAGAACATTCCAGTGTTTCCTCAAAGGGAACCAAAATGGCTACAGCTCAGTGCCACAAATCTAACTGGAGCAAACAAAGTTCATTTGACTTTTTTGTGTGTGTGCATTATTTAATTTGGCCTTCTAATGGAGATCGATGTCAGCAAATTGAGCCTGTCTGCGCCATTGGAACCCCTGCTGTGCTACGAAAATGTAGGCACAATTGGATTCCTTTCATCATATTACAAAAGAGGTCCATTCAGTTGCTTATGCCAATTTGTGTTCTGATCTGATCACTCATCTCTGAAAGCTGAGCTAAAAAGGGAGGAGAGTCTATTATAATGGTTTCCAGCTTTATCAGCCTCCCCCTCCCCTTTTTTTGGCATTGGTCACAGGATGCGGGAACTGAGAGTTTGTATATCCTTGTTCTCGTGTTTGCTGGCTTTCTTTTAAATTAATAGAACTATTTTTCTTTTTAAAAAAGACTGGTTTACCCTGTCATTTTAAAATAGTGTTGTAAACAGAATGGTAGTTTCTGAACATGCAGTGTGATAATGAACACTGATACTTAAACATTTGCTCAGGAGCAAGGAAATGCCAACTAGATGGAAGAACATCAGTGCAAGAAGTATAAAGGCTCTTCACTCTCTTACAAGGAGCTGTAGCTTTAAGCTGGGACCTGAGACTAGTACTAGCGAAATTATTATTATTATTATTATTATTATTATTATTATTATTATTATTATTATTTTACTGATACAAAAACACAGTATGTCACAGCAAATGAGATATATATGCTGGATTATTATAGAATCATAGAATCAAAGTGTTGGAAGAGACCTCATGGGCCATCCAGCCTGAAATACGTAAACAACATAAAAACCAGTGCAGGATTGCAAGATTTAAAGCAATTGTGGCTACAACTACCTTTCTTTAAAGGATTTATTTTGAGTTTCCCCCATTAACTTTCTCTAGAGGTTGGACATGCTGTGAAGATCCCAGTGCTGGTAGGATCTGGAGTCACCGTGGGGAATGTGAAGGACTACTTGGATGCAAATGGCTTGATCGTTGGCTCACATTTCAAGAAAGGCGGCCATTGGACAAAGGCAGTCGATCCCGATCGTGTGAGGAGGTTCATGGATCACATTGGTAAACTGAGAGGATAACATTGTGAATATAGGTTTCAAACACCAGAATCCTTATGGAACACAAGTTGGATCAAATAGTACAGGGCTTCTTAAACACCTCAAACTTTTAATGATGCCAAATCAGCATTTGCAAAGCATGCTAAAGGGTTGAATGAAAAGTAATGCCTCCACCTTCATAACTCCTCAAAAGATGGCAGTACTGGTATGCAGCAGGTACTGGCTTGTTCAGTAGACTCTCCTCTACAGTTCCATTTGGGTGGGAAGCCTTAACATTGAACAGTTGTGTTGTTAAAGTGCGAAGTATGGAACCCATGTAGACGGTCGGTCAATGTGTCTTAAGCAATATGCAGTCATTGAATTCTTGACAGCAGAAAGTGTCACCCCAAAGGAGATTCCTCCTGTTTTTGGTGATTGTGTTGATGTAAGTACTGTGCGTCGTTGGAGAAGTAAGTTTAAAGATGTTGAGGTGGGAACATCTGACTTGCGTGACAAAGAGTTGGACGTCCAGTGACAGCAACTACCGAGTTTCACAAGCAAAAGGTTGACAGATTGATTCAGGATGATTGTCGTATCACTCAGAGAGAAATTTCAAGCATAATTGGCATTTCAAAAGAATGTGTGGGTCACATTATTGCTTTTGTTGGCTATTGGAAGATCTGTGCACGATGGGTACCCAGGATGAGAGAAGTGTGAGACGCTGGTTGTGGAAACAGAGTGTTGACTTCTTCGGTGATGGATTCAGAAAACTTGTTAATTGTTGGCAGAAATGTATCCAATTGTCTGGTGATTATGTGGGAAAGTGAATAGTGGTAGTTAAAGAGCACAGTCTAAGGATTATTTCTGCATTTGATTTATTAAAATATTCCCATCCAAACCCAAGTAACAAAGGTGGAGGCATTACTTTTCATTCAACCCTCGTAAAGTTCAGCTGATGCATCTTCTGCAGAGTCCACCCAACAGATTTGTGTAATGGTCTAAAACAGCCACTAGGTGGCATTCTAAAAACATTTACTTTTGCCAGATTTTTCAGGATCCCAACAATGAGCTAAAGCAATGTTTCTCGGGACCCCTGTGGGGGTTGTGAGGGCATATCAGAGGGGTCACCAAAGACCATCAGAAAAACAGTATTTTCTGTTGGTCATGGGGGTTCTGTGTAGGAAGTTTGGTCCAATGGTATCATGGGTGAGGTTCAGAATGCACTTTGTTTGTAGGTGAATTATAAATCCCAGGAACTACAACTCCCAAATCACAAGGTCTATTTCCCCCAAACTTCATCAGTGTTCACATTTAGGCACATTGAGTATTTGTGCAAAGTTTGGTCCAGATCCATCATTGTTTGAGTCCACAGTACTCCCTGGATGTTGGTGAACTACAACTCCAAAACTCAAGGTCCATTCCCACCAATTCCTTGCAGTATTTTCTGTTGGTTATGGGAGTTCTGTCTGCCAAGATTGATTCAATTCCATTGTTGGTGGAGTCCAGAATGCTCTTTGATTGTAGGTGAACTATAAATCTCAGCAACTACTACTCCCAAATGACAAAATCAATCCCCTCCCAACCTCACCAGTATTCAAATGTGGGCGTATGGGGTATTTGTGCCAAATTTGGTCCAGTGAATGAAAATACATCCTGCATATCAGATACTCACATTACAATTTACAACACTAGCAAAATTACAGTTATGAAATAGCAACAAAATAATTTTTGGTTGGGGGTCACCACAACAAGAGGAATTGTATTAAGGGGTCACGGCATGAGGAAGGTTGAGAACCACTGAGCTAAAGGGACTCAGAGTTTAAGAAAGAAAATTAAAATACAGTGATATAATGCAGCTCTGGCACATATCTAACTTTGGCCTTGCCCAAAAATATTTGCTTCTAACAGCCAAGTATATCAGGAAGCCTGCCTTTTGCCTACTCCGGCTTTAAAACACCGGTTCTCTTGTTCTGAACTGGACAGGGGGAGTGTGTCCCTGTTGGTTCTGCTGGACCTCTCTTCGGCCTTCGATACCGTCGACCACGGTATCTTTCTGGGACGCCTCGCGGGAATGGGTCTTGGGGGTACTGCTTTGCAGTGGGTCCGGTCCTTCCTCGAAGGTCGCTCCCAGAAGGTGTCGCTAGGGGACTCCTGCTCGACTCCTCGGCCATTGTACTGTGGAGTCCCGCAGGGTTCAGTACTGTCCCCCATGTTGTTTAACATGTACATGAAGCCGTTGGGAGACATCATCCGGAGTTTCGGGGTACGGTGTCATCTGTACGCAGATGATGTCCAACTCTGTCACTCCTTTCCACCTACTAATAAGGAGGGTGTCCAAGTCCTGAACCGGTGCTTGGCCACTGTGACGGACTGGATGAGGGACAACAGATTGAAACTAAATCCAGACAAGACAGAGGTACTCCTGGTCAGTCGTAAGACCGAACAGGGTACGGGGTTACAGCCTGTGCTGGATGGGGTTACACTCCCCCTAAAGGCGCAGGTTCGCAGTTTGGGAGTTCTCCTAGATTCATCGCTGAGCCTGGAGCCCCAGGTCTCGGCGGTGGGCAGGGGAGCTTTTGCACAATTAAAACTTGTGCGCCAGCTGCACCCGTATCTTGGGAATTCTGACTTGGCCACAGTGGTCCACGCTTTGGTTACATCCCGTTTAGACTACTGCAACGTTCTCTATGTGGGGTTGCCTCAGAAGACTGCCTGGAAGCTGCAGCTAGTCCAACGCTTGGCAGCCAGACTACTAATGGGTGCTGGGTACAGGGAGCACACCACTCCGCTGTTACACCAGCTCCACTGGCTGTCAATTACCTTCCGAGCACAATTCAAAGTGCTCGTGTTAACCTATAAAGCCCTAAACGACTCCGGCCCTGTTTACCTCTTCGAATGTATTCTCCCCTATGAACCATCAAGATTATTAAGATCGTCTGGAGAGGTCCTGCTCTCGGTCCCGCCAGCCTCGCAAGTGTGTCTGGTGGGGACGAGGGACAGGGCCTTCTCGGTGGTGGCCCCTCGACTCTGGAACTCTCTCCCACTGGAGATCAGAACCACCCCGTCTATCCTGACATTTAGGAAACAGGTGAAGACTTGGGTATGGAGACAGGCATTCGATGAGTGAGCCAACACCCTGAGATATGGATGGAGGATGATGAGCAACGATTTTAGTGTGACAACTGACCATTATAGTTATTGATTGGAATTGCTGTTTTAATGTTTTACTGTAATATGTATTATGATGTTTTATTGATTGTATGTGATATTATGGTTGGAAACCGGTCTGAGTCCCTCAAGAGAGGTGAGGAGGCCGGTATACAAAACTTTTAAATAAATAAATAAATAAATAAATAAATAAATAAATAAATTCTCGATCAGGTGGAAGTTTGTACCTGAAATACCCAGCACCCCAAGAAAAGTATTCTTGTCATGCTGCCTTTCTTTCTGATGAAATTATTGCCAGCTTTGAAACTGCATTTTAGAACCATTAGAACCCAAGCCATCAGCTAGTAAACAAGCAAATATTTTCCAAGCATTATAAACGCAATTGCGAGAAGGCATTAGAGATGCCGATAATGACTGTTCAGGGGTGAAGACAGTTGTGATTTTAGAGATGCTGAATTGCCAGAAGTCGCAGCCATTCATTGTTGTGAAGGTGAAGCTGTAATGTGTCACCGCAGCCATGCAAGCTAACAAGGAAAAGAAAGCATGGCTTGATTCTCTCCTTTATACTCGTTCAATCCGAAATGCAATTTGAATTGTTGGAATTGTGTCAAGGCAAAATGGTTGAGTGAAACCCCGGCGGTTTAATCAGTGCAGCACTTTGTTCGTGGTTTAACTGTAACATCTGAAGTAGACCTCAAAGTGTATTGATAACTCCCACCTGGATGTGTGAACGGCCTTTAGTGAAAAATCAAGTGTTCAGAAGTGTTTTGTCATCTATATAAATAAAAATGGAATGTTCGTTTGTGGGATTAACGTAACTCAAAAACCACTGGACGAATTGACACCAAAGTTGGACACTATACCCCTAACAGACCAATGAGTGACCATCACTCATAACCCCCCCCCCCCAAAAACAGTGGAAAGAACTTAAAACCCCCAAAAAGCTAAATGACAATACAGAAAATGAGAAGAGGAGGGAGGGAAGGGGATAAAGAAAGAAGGAAGAAAGGAAGAGGGAGGAAAGGGAGGGAAAGAAAGGAAGGAGAAGGGATGGAAGGAAGGAGGAAGGAAGGAAGGAAGGAAGGAAGGAAGGAAAGGAAAGAAAAGAAGAGAGAAGGCATGGAAGGAAGGAAAGATGTATAGAAGGAAGAAAGGAGAGAAAGAGGGAGGGAAGGAAAGAGATAAGGAAGGACGGAAGCAAAAAGCGAAGGAAGGCAGGAAAGAGGTAGAGAAAGAAGAAAGGATAGACTCAAATTAAGGAAGCCATTGAAGTAAGTCTGCAAGACCTGCTAATAACAGATTGTCTTGGAAGTCTGCTAGTCATAAGGTTGCCAAAAGTCAAAGCTGATTTTACAAAGGTTGGATGAAAAGTAATGCCTCCACCTTCGTAACTCCTCAACAGATGGCAGTACTGGTATGCGGCAGGTACTGGCTTGTTCAGTAGACTCTCCTCTACAGTTCCACTTTGGCAGGAAGCCTTAGCATTGAATGGTTGTGTTGTTAAAATGTGAAGTATGGAACTCTCCATAGAGACTTAAGCAACATTCAGTCATTGAATTATTGACAGCAGAAGGTGTCACTCCAAAGGAGATTCATCAGAGAATGCAAGCTGTTTATGGTGATTGTGTTGATGTGAGTACTGTACGTCATTGGGTGAGAAAGTTTAAAGATGTTGAGGTGGGAACATCTGACTTGCATGACAAACAAAGAGTTGGACGTCCTGTGGCCAAGTTTCACAAGCAAAGGTTTGACAGATTGATTCAGGATGAGAAATTTCAAGCACAATCGTCATTTCACAAGAATGTGTGGGTCACGTTATTGATTTGCTTGGCTATCGGAAGATCTGTGCACAATGGATACCCAGGATGCTGATGCTGGTTGCGGAAACAGAGTTTCGACTTTTTTCATGATGGTTTCAGAAAACTTGTTCATCGTTGGCAGAAATGTATCCAATTGTCTGGTGATTATGTGGAAAAGTGAATCGTGGTAGTTAAAGAGCACATTCCAAGGATTATTTCTGCATTTGATTTATTAAAATATTCCCATCCAAACCCAAGTAACGAAGGTGGAGGCATGAGTTTTCATTCAACCCTTATATCAGTCAACAGGGTCCGCAGGCTACACTGCCCCATTCCTGTTTTGGAATTGTGTATTACATTTATATCAGTAAAATAGGAGGACCAAACCTCCTTAATTTCACCAAGATCACACTTGCATGCGGTACCTTTAAGCCATCCACTGGAACACATGTAAGGACATATGAGCAGAAATTCAACACATGCTGTATATCTTCTCAAACAAATTTACAGTCATTCAAAATTGTTTCTGTTGGCTCATTGTTTGTATTATGCGCTAATTATGGAACAAATTTTTGTGTGTTTATGAAGTACATAGAATTAAAGTTATCTAGAATCAGGACATTTAGTGTGTGGGTTTTTTTTCTCCTTTTCTTTGCTAATGGTATACTAGCTGTACCCGGCTGCCATGCGTTGCTGTGGCCAAACTTCCCTCCCTGTTTCTCTCCTTCTTTCTTTCTTTCTCTCCTTCCTTCCCTCCGTCTTTTTCTTTCCCTTCTTCTTTCTTCCTTCTCTACCTGTTTCTTTCCTCGCTTCCTTTGCTCTCTGGTTCCATCCTTCCTTGTCTCT